AAAGAGCATAGAACGTTTCTTAACGACGGCAGTGCCAGCTGCATGCTGCAGGTGACTCTACAGGATCGTGCATATATTATAATAAATGATTGTCAAGACAAATATTTGGATGGTCAAGTTACAACTAATTACAACCTAAAATAAATCATAAATCTTGTCAATAAAAATTAAAAACTTAGAAAATCACCCACTACTATTATGAAGAAAATGAATCCCAAAGATGCTAATACAAATATTAGGAAATAATAGACAAAATAAATAGTAAAATGATAAGGAAAGAAATTTTAGCAGATGTTATATCCTTATATCACCTAAATATAAGATTTATAATATATTTTTAAAGCTTAGAAATCATTAGCTTCTCCCAAATGTTGCATGGTAAGACGTAAGTTTTTTGATAATAAAACAAACAATGTGCTCAACTTTTTGAAAAAACTAAAAAATTTATTCTTTTTAAAAAATAATAATAATGAGTGCAAAATATGTAGCAATGTTGAAAACAATAATCCTAATATGAATATCCTTGGAATATTTACTACACTTAAGGCAAACTATAAAATAACAGAATGTGATATTAATGTATCGATGACTTTTTTAAATACAAATGGACTTATCATTACCTTTTTAGAGTTATAATTTTATTATAGTGCTAGTGGTGTGGTGATGCAGCTGTAGCGTCAGATCTTCAGCCTTTCAATGCTCCATTTGTGAGTGCAAGTTCAGCTTGATGAAAGCTTTGGCTTTTGGCTCAGCTTTAAGGTGAAAGGACCCCTCACTCGAAACTTCTCTGTGCTGGAAAAATCTCTTTAGCTTTAGAATTTTAAGCGAATACCAACTTCATCCATGGAATTCCATGCATGTCCAAACAAGCAACTCTCAATCTTGCCAAACGAATCACATCCTCGAGAACAGTACAAGAGTTTGCAAAAAGAACGTCAGCATCAAACGCAAAACTCTCGTGGGTGTTTCTCGATTCATGGCGGGAGGGTGTTGACACTTCACGCAAAAGCGAAAATAAACAAAAGGCCACTTTTCGTGGACCACGACTGAAACAGCGATGATTATTCCCAGAAGATTCCTCGTCCATTGAGGTGACAAATCTAGCGTTTCTTTCCAGCCTTAACCGCACTTAAACAACAACATTTTGGTGGCTGGACGAATCCACCATGAATGGAGAAAAGAACACAAAGGAAAATATTCGCGGCCGCATCAAGAATATCCCTTTCTCAGCATTTAGGTGGAAGCAGCCGTCCACATGTACAGCAGCACACCAGGCCAGCGAAAGTCCTTCCTTTGCATAACTCCAAACGTAAAAAAGCTAGAAAAGCTCTCAGACATGGAAGTCGATTTCACGGCCCTGAGATATAGCACAGGAGAAAGCATAAACAAAAGCGACAGATAAATAAGCACCCGAGGAGAGAAAGAAAGAAAAAAAAAAAAAAAAAAAAACCTCTGCTATGCCACGGCAAGTGTCCAATTATCTACACTACACCGCTTGCCTTTCATTCCATTCTCTTTCCCGTTGCGAGCGAGGAGGCTCTGGAAGAGGAAGGAGAAGACGAGTAAGTTGGGTGATAAAGGATCACAAGAACTCGAGCGAGTTCTCCTAGGAAATAGTGAAGCTACTCACCAATGTTTAGATCGATGTGTTCGTGGTGCTGCTCGCTTCCCTTCCTCCTGGCTCTCCTCTCCTCCTCTCAATCACCAGCAGCGGCGGCGGTAGCACCGATTCCAGTCCAGGAGCTCGCGGCCGGGGATTTGCCGGCGCTGGAATTCGAGCGCTGGGATCACAACTACTCGTGCATCTTCGACAACTATCGCGCCTTCAGCTACTTGCACATCGGCTATGTCCCCTACTTCAATCTCTCCAACCGGTCCCCGAGCTATGCTACTCTGGACGACTGTCTCGACTCTTGCACCGCGGATTGTTCCTGCTCTGGCATCGTCTACGATGTCCCGAAGGATTCTTGCTACCAGTACCACGACTACATCCCCGTCCAATCCATCCAGCTTCTTCCCGTCAATGCCCACGACACCATCTCCGCCTACATCAAGATCCAGCGCGGCTATAACAGCGGCCCTGGCGGATACTACTCCGGAGCTCCTCCGCGACGAGAATTACTGCTTTCCAGCCTCGGGATTCTAGTTCTTCTGGGTCTTGTTCTTCCACCTTTCCTCCCTCAACTCCATGCTGTCCACCACTGATCTCCAGCTGATCTGGTCTCCCTGCCAGAGAAACTTCTGTGAGATTCTGGCACCCAATAACAAGATCTAACACCCCATTTTGTTTCGTTCTTGGATTCCTGGAGAGAGGAAGAAAAAATGCACAGGGAATATGCTCATGCTCTTGTGGAAACTGGAAAGGAAGAACACCACCTAAGAAGTTCCAGTGAAGCCGAGCTTGCGGATGATCTTGGCGTAGCCGGGATGGACCAGCGCTGCTCCTCGCAACTGGCGACGCTGCTTCTTCGTCTGCGAGCGAGACGAGTGCGATGAGAGGAAGATCAATTGAAAGAATCGATCCAAACCTTGGAGGAGGCATTGTGGCGCTTCCCTGCATGAGCTCGTGCGTAGGTCCCGTCCGGCATCAGCTTGAATCGATGCTTGAGCGATCTACGCAGGAAAAAAAGGATTTTGTGAGAGAGGGAGAAAGCGCCTAGGTTACCTACGAGTAGGATTTCATCTTGTCCTTCTTCTGCGGCCTCTTCTTGCAAGATTTCGTGGCACCGAAGCGGCATTGGATCCCCTGCAGTATGATCTGAGCTACCGATCGATAGATTCACAACACTTACCGCAAGAACAGGTGGAAGCCGCGCCGGACGGCTCCAAACCAAGCCGCCGCGACTCGCATTTACAATCCTGGGAGCTGCTATGGCGCTGCTAGCGAACGATCGCAAGAGGCGCTGCTGCCGCGCCGCGAAGGGATCCACAAGTCGCCATAGCCGGTGAAGCATCACGAAGAACCCTAAAAAAAAATCAACGGTGGGCGACCACTCCTTCTCCATCGCGCTCCGTTGATTCACACTTCCAACGTTTAGATCGGCATCCGTACACTTCCGTGTTGGGGCCCGTGCGAAACCACTCGTACGGCAGGCGCTGGAACAGCAATCCCTGAGTCTCCCGGATGAAAAACGAAGCGACCCTCCTCGCGAATCCCTCTCCTCTCGCTGCCCAAGAGATCCCTTCTCCAAATTCGCAGCACCCACATAGCAATCCATCCACATTTGAAGCTTCTTCCCTCCTCTTGTTCTTCCATGGAACTTGACAGCGATCAGGGCGACTGGGACTCCGCCGTCCGGCCTCGCTACGCATCGCCATCGCCATCGCCTCTCAATTCCACCATCTCAGGTCTGTACGAGGATCACGAGCGGCAGCAGCAGGAGTCGCGCGGCCTGGAAACTCTGGAGCTGATCCTCCAGAAGATCCTCCGGAGCTTGAGCGCATTGGCGGACAATTTCGATCGGATTCTGAGCTCGTACGAGGCGGCCAAGAGCGAGGGAGGCAGCGTTTGCTGCTGGAGGGCAGTGAGAAGCTTGCGAGATGGAGCCTGGAAGAGATTGAAGGGGCTTAGATCCGCGCGAAGGGATCCCAGCTCCCTGTTGGTGTGCTGCATTTTAGTACCTCTCGTGTTCTTCCTCCTCGTCGGTACGTATTCCTGTTTAGAAGTCGGGTCCGATGGAGTCCGAGGTGGAGTCCGAGGTGGTCTCGGCTGTCCGAGCTCGGACTCTCTTTTTTCCGAAAGAAGCTAAGTTGTCGATCCAATGCAGGGCCTAGAACACGATCGTTTCAGCCCAAGGCATCTCCAGACGATCGTCAGAAAGCTCGAATCCCACCCAGGCGGATCCAATTGCCGGACGGTAGAAACATCTCATACCGGGAAGAAGGTGTCCCTGCCGATCAAGCAAAGCGCACAGTGCTCGTTGTTCATGGATTTCTCTCATCGAGACTAGCAGGTTCGTGAGCTTTTCATTCATGTGCTCTACAGTCGCTCCGTCAACTTGTAGGAATTCCCGGAATCAATTCTTCGCTGCTCGATAGCTATGGTGTTCGTCTTGTGGCTTACGACTTGCCAGGATTTGGAGAGAGTGATCCTCACCACAACAGAAGTTACAAAACCTCGGCCTCGGACATGATCAGCATCGCCGACGCTCTCGGTTTTGGCGACCAGTTTTGGATCCTGGCGTTTGATGGAGGTGGTCCTCACGTTTGGGCTGCGATTCACTACATTCCAGAGAGACTAGCAGGTAATCACATCTTTCTTTTTTTTTCTCTTGAGAGTTTAGCAAGAGTGTTGCTTGCTTGTGTTCTTGGACACAGGTGTTGCTATGGTTGCTCCGGCGGGAAATCCATACGGAGGAAATCTCACCTCGAGCGAAGCGGCCAAAGCCTGGAAGGCCTGGTCATTCCGGAGAAGATTGCTCCATTTCTGTGCCAGGAAGTTTCCATCTTCACTTGGAGGTTTTCTCCGGAGAACTCTCCTGGAGAAGATCGACAGGCTTAGCAGAAGCTTGTATGCCACCTCGAGATCAAAGGTTTGCATTGTTTTGATCGTGGAATGACTCAAGGTCATCGAGTTTTGCAGGACCGAGCTCTTTTCGAGCAGCAGGATTTCATGAGACTATGGGAAGACGACGTCCGGGAATCCATGAACCAGAAGCGAGCTTTCTCGCTGGCCCAAGAGCTAGTCTTGCTGGTTAACAACTGGGGATTCGACTTGGGCGATCTCAAGCGAAAGAGACCGCCCGCCGGCGATGGAATCGTGAGCAAGCTGCGGGGCCTTTTCTCTCAAGAACAGTCGGATCTCCTCGGCTTCCAGCGACCAATACATATATGGCATGTAGGTGGTGGTGTTCTTGGTTTGGTTTTTTCCAAAAGCTTGCTGATCTTGGCGATTGTAATCAGGGAACTGACGATGTAGTCGTGCCGATTGCGATGAGCGAGTTTGCGCAGCGAGTCCTGCCTCACGTAAACTTCCACAGGTTGCAAGGCGAGGGCCACTTCTCGTGGTTCTATCTCTGCCAGGAATGCCACACAGATTTGTTCAAAGCCATGTTTCCAGATGAATAGCCATGGAAAGAAGAGATCGATTCTATTTCTCTTTGATTGTTACATGTAAATCTACTGTCCTAACCAGCGCGTTTCCTCTTCCACTGCTTTCCATATCGCACGGAAGGTAATGGGCTTGGGGAGCTTCGCGCTACACATCGGGCACGAATCATTGTTTTCCATCCACTCGCGAAGACATTCCAGATGATAACAGTGCTTGCATGGTATCTGCTTCACCGCGCTATCGAGCTCGAACTTGTCCTGGCAAACCGCGCACCATGGCTTGATCTCGGGGAGAAGATCGCAGATGCTGGGCATCGGCTTGGGAGGGGGTTTGAAAAAGATTTTCGTATCCACCCATGTCAATACCTTGGCCGTGAACTTCTCCACCTTTTCTAGCATCGTCACAGGTTTCTCGACCTTCGCCATCTCTCACTCAAACTTATGGAAACATTTGTGGTTTTGGCCATTTATTTATACTAGTAAGAAAAGGAAATTTTACCTTTTTATAATTTAAGGGTTTGCTTTTAATTAGAATTAGTGGTTGGGTTAAATGTTTATTAATTTTATTACCGTTTTATAGGCAATTTACTTTTATATCTTAATAATTATAAATATTTGAAATCAAAATGAGAGGATCTTAGGGTTTTAGCGATAGACAATTGCGCGCTCTTCCCAGGCGGCGATCGCCAGCTCCATCGATGCAAGAGGTAGGCGAAGGTGAGCTTGACACGGGGATTCGACGCAGCGGCGCCGCCCCGACGAGTAGGGCAGGAGATCGAAGTCATTCCCCAGCACGCTGTGGTCGCTGCCCAGGAATCGCTCGGGGGGAGAGCTCGGGGTCGCTCCAGACGCTTGGGTCGTGATGGATTGCCCAGACGTTAACGAGGACTGTGGTGTGATGCAAGGCAGGTCTTTTAGATCCCACTCCTCCAGAGAGCGATCTCTTCCCACGACTCTGTCCAGCTCCTCGTGAGCTCTCCCCTGGATTCTGGGGTTTAGGATCAGCTCCGAGATGGCCCATTCGATCGTCGTCCTGGAAGTTAGAGTGCCGCAAGCTTACGTGAGAAAGAACAAAGTACGAAGAACAAGGTAAGCTTTTTCTTTCTACCTGGAGCAGCGGTTGTCGCTGAGCTTGTTTTCGCCTCCCAGAGTCAGCATCACGTCGACAAAGTCCCGGGGATTTCCTGGATCGAAGCCTTCCGTGTGCTCCTCGATGACTGCTTTGAGAAAGCGAGCTCTTGCTGGTAAGACCTCATTCTTGAGACGATTTTGCGTCCTGAGCGTGTCCAGCCACCGCAGCGCAGGGATGTAATCACCCGCAAAGAGCCATCTGGATTCTTTCGCTACGATCCGACTCCTTGTAGTCCTCGGCCTCGGGAGTGAGCGGCTCGTCGGTACCGTAGAACTTCCTCCCGATCAACACGCTCGTCATGAGGTTCGTGAAGTACTCGTGCAGCATGGAGCTGAGATCAACTCGACGATCGATCCAAACGCTCCCAGCTCCAAGTGGCTGACTTTGGAGGCCGTGAAGAGCTCCGCGGCGCTCACTCTCACTCGCCGCAGCATCTTCCATCGCTCGCCGAAAGATGAGGTCAAGTTGTGGCTGAGGAGGCAGGCGAGGCACGAAGGAGTAGTGGGGCCTTCTCGCAAACGCGGCGTCGTGCTCCTTGAGGACTTGCCTCGCCATCTCCGGGACAAGGTGAGGCCGGACTCCGAGCCGGAGGGCTATTCTTTCGAGCCATCTCGGCCAGGGAGAGGTGACGGTAAGCGCCGAGAGAGAGAGACGACGGGCCATGAGAAAGGACCTGAAGAGCAGTGACGAGCAAATCCAGCAGCGCACTGATTTTGCTCTGCTGAATCAGTGTCGTAAGTCTTAGGTCTTTTAGCCTTGGCCTCTCTTATTAGGCTCGCAAGGTAAGGTGTGTTTTCGAAATTTTGAGAGACGAGAAGAGAAGTTACTAAAGGAGAAAGCCCTCTTCACAAATAGAATTTGGAAAAGCCTGCGCTGAAAGAATTATCCATCTTAGGGCTTGAGAATTTGGAGAGGGCCGCGCGTACGCGAGCCCTCAACTTCCACAAATTACGACGTCCACTCCTCCACTTTGGGAAGATGGTAGGCCGGCCAAGCCGAAGTGCAATGGGAAAGCCGAACCTAGGCCATTGGCCTTCATGATCACCAATAGACCCCGTCCAGGTAAGTATGGATCACTTCCCAAGGCCCTAGCTTATATACTGCTCTTGTGCCCTCATTCCACGCCCCGGCATGTGGGATAGGGTAAAGAATCTGGCGCAGCATATACCTTAGTCAAAGACCTAGTCGATGGCGCTAACGACGAGCAAAAAGAGCATTGCTGCGCCTTCGCCGGCCGTGGGGCTCGAACCCACGACCACAAGGTTAAGAGCCTTGCGCTCTACCAGCTGAGCTAGGCCGGCTTTCAATAATAATGGAACTTCTAAGCAAGAAGAAACAAAGACAGTCTTACACGGGTTTTGTGACTGCATTAGTTAGATTAATCTTGTGTTTATAAATTCTAAATATGTTTATAATTTATAGTTTTTTCATTTTAAATCTAATAGAATCCACAGCTTATACAAGTTTGTCATCCATCACCATTTCTTCTTCCCCAGCGAGAGCCTGCTTCCAAACTTGACGTCTGGATTCCGGGTGATGGATGATGTCGCGGCAGCGGCGGCTTTGCTACCCACGCGAGCCGAGATGCTCCACAGAGATTCACCTTTGCCGCTGCTGTTCTTCTTCGCCGGAGCTGGAGCTGGAGCTGGCGCTGGAGTGGGAGCTTGATCGGCAACAACCGGAGGTGGAACAACACTTCCAGGATTCTTGGAAGTCTTGAGAAGCGGATGCTTGGGACCTCCAGTCTTTCCCATCCCGTGAGCGAGCAGCCACCGCGACCCGGATTGCTGCTGCTTTTGTGTCCCCCAGACCCTCTTTTTGCCGTTGCCACCCTCGATCGAATCACCCGACTTGAGACCCGCCATATGAACTCCAGTGATCTTGAACTGCGACGATGATCCCTGCTGCTGTTGCTGGAGTTCCTCCTCGTCCACCTCGCTGTTGCCTTGGATCGAGACTCTCTTGAACATCTTTGGCCGAGGAGGAACGAGCACTCGCTCCGCCTGGACGAATGCCATCATCGGTGCTCCCACTGGCTCGAAGTTCCTGAGAGGATCACGGAGCTGGACGAGCATGGCGAGCGTGAGTGTGTCACCCATGAGACCACCTTGATCCTGCGAAGAAGAAGAAGAAGAATCCATCACTCTCTTGCCGCTACTGCCGCTGCTGTGATCGTCGCTCGCGTTGGCCATCAAGACGATGTCCGTGGAATGCGCGGCGTGGTGAGCTGCAAGAACAGCCTTGGTCTTGTCCGTCGTCTCGGCCTCGTCGTAAACTCCAGCGTCCAGCCTCATCCACTCGTCGAGCGAGATCGACATAGCCATCAATCCACTCTCACTGCCGTGATCTTGCCCCGGTGCTGCCTCGATCAACCTCAAACTTCCACTCCCGCCACCTTCTAAGAGATTGCTGCTGCTGCCTGGCTCGATCGCGTATGGAGCTTCCTCCTCGGCCATGTCCGACTGGATCTTGAGCCCCTGCATCGCCAGAGCCTCGATCTTCTCCATCGCCACCGGAGCCAGATCTTCCAGCGACATGAAAGTATCATCCGAGCTTCGCGGCCTCGGCGAAGCACCACTTCCACCATATCTCCTCTGATCAAACAAGGCTCCAGAGCTGTTCTTGGCTACTTCTAGTCCACCACTTCCACCATGCCCATACTCGAGAGCTAGCCTGTTACTACCACTGCCTTGTCCACCACCAAGAGCTGGATACCTGCGAAATCAAACGTGAATGAGTAAAACCATCAACCATGCATCGTCGAAATCGCACCTTGGAGCTCCTTCCAGTGAAGCTTGACCCTCCATAGCTATCTGGTATATGTTCTTGCCGGTTATATCCTCGAGAGGCATCGTTTCCATGACTTGGAGCGCCATGTTTTCGGATCCACCGGCTGCGAGGCTGCGAAAGATATCCAAAACACCCGATCCCATCTCCGCAGGCACCACCACTGGCTTGGAGACCTGGATAACGAGCCGGCCATCGTTCCTTCCTCCCTGGAAATGGATCGGATTCATCGTTCGCAGCGAGCCACCGTCGCGAGTTGGAATCATGGAGCCGAGTCCGTCCGCGAGACATGGAGGCTCGGATGGTATCACCGCCAGAGCGCTGGCTGCCGAGAAATCCCCCGCGTGCTTTGGAGGAGATCTCTGGAAAGCTCGCTCGTTGAGACCCCACTCTTGCATGAGAGCCTCGGCCTCGGCGTCCTCGAGAAGCTTTGCTCGAGCTTTGCTCCTCGCTGCCTGTGCTGCCTTCTGAAGCTCCATCTCCGCCGCGTCCATGAAGGCCGAGAGATCGTCGTCTTCTTCGCTGCCCCAGCTTCCAACCTGGATTTGCTGCTGCTGCTGCTGCTGCTGCTCGATCGCTGGTCGAGAGTAAGGCACAAGAACAGTAGAAGTCTCTTCCTCCGCCACCATTCCTCCACCTCCAAAGTTCCTCCCGAGCAGAGCTTGCTCCTCCTCGAACTGCCGCAGCAGCAATCCCCGCGGCGAGCAGCTGTAAATCTCTCCCTCGTCGTCCGAGCTCGTTCCCAGCATGTGTAAGAACTTCTCGGCCTCGTCGTCCAGCTCGCCACCCTCGCTCTCGGGATGAAAGCTCCGGTCCTCCTCGAAGAAACTCTCCTCCACTCGACGAGACGACTCCTCCACGCCTTGATCCACCACGGAGAAGTCCGCCTCGCCGTCATCCTCGTCTCGATCATCCGACTGCTCCATACTAAACTCTTTGAGCTCCTGTTCTTGCTGCCTCCCAGGAGTATCCGGCGCCAGCAGCCCCGAGCTGGAGCTCATCGTCATGGCTGTCCCGGTGTCCTCCTCCTCCTCCGGATCATCGTCGTCAAGGTTTAGATTCTCCACGTCGATCGAGTACTCGGGCTCCGACTGCGCGGGAGAAGCTCCGCCACCTTTCTGCTGCTGCTTCCTCACACCGGAGAGAGCGATCACACCTTGCGGCGAGCTCGGCAAGCTGCTAAACGACCTCACCAGCCTTGGATCCGGCGGAGAATGCGAGCTAAACTTCCCCGCAGTAGCAGCATCCGTGGACGATGGAACAGGATCACCACTCTCATCCATCTCATACCCGAAAGTCACCACCAAAATCCCACCTTTGGCCCTCCCGGAGAGCTTGAAGCTCGTGTTCCAGCTGCTCTTCTTCCCCGATCCCCGAGCGGAGCTATCGTCCGGGAGGATCCGGCTGAGATCGAGCCTGTGCTTCCCGAGCTCGAGCTCGCTAGCATCAGGAGCCACGACCGAGAGAGTGAAGGTCTTGGACGTGTAGCGAACGCCACCGCTGGAGCTGGAGCTGCCATAGACGGCGCACTTGATCCGGAGAGCCTCCTCGAAATCGGCACAGCCTTTGAAAACCAGGGAAGGCACTGTTCTTGCCTCGCTCTCCTTGTGCTTGAGCCGGACCTGGAGACGAAGGCCCTCCAGCGATGCCGGGAGCTTGCTAATCCCGTGGACGTGGGCGACGAACTCGCAACCAAACCTCGTCTGGCCGATGTGTGCCAGAGCTCGCAGCGGCTTCCAGTCCCAGAGGCTGCCGCCCTTCTTCTTGCGCTGGTGGGCGATTGGGAGCTGCTGCGTCACTGCCGCCGCTGGCACAGACCCCTGATCGCTCAAGAAATCGGGAAGATCGGCCCCGTCCGAGTGCCATGTTAGCAGCGCTCGATCTTGCGGCTCCTTCCTGCTGCCCTTGGCCTTGTAGAGCGCCTGGCTGAGCGCCTCGAGCTCGCGGAGCAGCTGCCCTCCAGCGTCTGCCCGAGAGGATGGAACCGACCCGACCATGTGTGATCTCACCCGTGCAGCCGATTTCTCGCTCGCAGATCCAGTTGGGCAGGGGGAGCGGCGGCCGGGGAGCGAACCCAAGTCGTCAAAATCGGATTTTGGCGCTCAGGGCGGCCGGATCGGGTGCTCGCGCGGAGAGGGGAAGAACGGTATGATGCATGGCATAAATCTTGGCGAAGAACATGCAAGAAAAGGGGGTAAAAGATGAAACTTTTAGAACAAAGTGGATGATCCTTGCAAGGAGAAAGTCGTACCTGGAGTGCCTTCTTCTTCTTCCTCTCGCCTGGCGCGCCCTGGAAAATGGAGAACAGCGCACGCCACTGGCGATGGTGTTTTTAGGGCGGTGAAAAACGAGCAACAGCAACAGCAAAGGGTTTTTATGTTGGTTTTACGGCGCCATTTTTCCCCCTCCGTGCTCTGCCAAAGTTCTTGTCTCTCAATTCAAACACTTGCTCTCATGATTCTCGAGAAAGCTTTGGATCAATCAATCAGTCGCTCAATCAATCAACGTGATCCATGGATTATCAACGCTATGTACGTCATTATTTTTGCATTGCTGATTGTGATCTTCCACCGAGGTATGCAAAAGAAACCATTCCGAGTTGGTTGGGATCTCCCGGCTGGAATTGCCATATACAAATCAGTGCTCGTTCGAAAGAGCTTGGAGGGAGCGGCAAAGCGGCAAAGCTCGCGCGAAATTCTATGCAACGTTCGCCTCGATGGTGGTGAAAACTTTGGCTTTAGCCTGGAGCTCCCCGATCGATTGCCGGAATTGTTGGATGCAGTAAACTTCCGAGGTTGGTAAACTAGTGTGTTGTCAAATGCATCCAAGAAACTCAAATAGATCCAAGAAACTTTGCCGCCTCCAGAGCAAAACGATGGCGACGTGTTCCAACAAACAGTATATTCGATTAGGGTAAGAAAAGGAAGCTTTCAAAGGGATTCGAACCCGCGCAACGGAAAAGGGCATATTCGATTAGGGCATGAGCGCGCAAGAGAAGAAGGGACCTCGCTTGCGCACAGCATCGCGCGCCGCCGGCGCGTGGAATGCAATTGCCGTCGCTGGTCCGCGCCATTCGCTCCTGCGACGATCTCCAGCTCGCCCGCCGCCTCCACTCGCGGATCTTGGACCTCCGCTACCGCCCCCACTTCGTCTTCCTCGCCAATCTGCTGATGCAAGCGTATGGCAAGTGCGGCAGCGCCCATGAATCGCGTCGGGTGTTCCATACCATCGATTCGCTCGCGCGCCCCAATCTCTTCTCCTGGACAATCCTCCTCACAGCAAATGCCCAGAATGGGGATCTCGCGGCCGCCAAAGAGGTGTTTGACAAAATGCCCCACAGAGACGTGGTGACGTGGACGGCCCTCATTGGCGCCTGCGCCCGGGCCTGCCACGTGGTGGAGGCCGAGTCGCTGCTCTCCAGGATCCCGGCCACGGATGCGATCGCGTGGAGCAGCATGATCGTGGCATATTCCCTGGCCGGGGATATTCCCCTAGCGAGGAATCTCTTCGAGAGCTTGGGCCAGGAGCGCGACGTGGTGGCTGAGACGGCGATGCTCCACGCATATGCCCTCGCGGGGTATCTGCGCGAAGCTCGCGAGCTCTTCGATTCCATGGCCGCCAAGAATGAGATCTCCTGGAGCGCGATGCTGGGGGCTTTCGCGGATCGAAGCTTGATGGACGAGGCGGCGGCGCTGCTGGATCGAATGCCGCAGCACGATCTAGTCTGCTGGACTGCGATGCTGCTGGGCTATGCCCGGAAGGGGGATCTGGACCGCGCGAAGGCGCTGTTTGATCACATCCCGGAGCGCGATCTCGTGTGCTGGACGGCGATGGTGGAGGCGGCGGCGGGCAGGGTCGAGCTCGAGATCGCGGCGGCGGTGTTTGATCGAATGCCCGCGAGGAATGTGGTGTCGTGGACGGCGATGGTGGCGGCACTGGGACAGGAGCTCCGAGTGGACGATGCCCGGTTGCTCTTCGATGCGATGCCCGAGCACGACACGATCTCGCGCAATGCGATGCTGTTTGGATTGGGGAAGATGGGGCGAGTGGAGGAATCCAAGGCTATGTTCGATGCGATGAGCGATCGAAGCATGGTTTCCTGGACGGCGATGCTGGCGATCTTTGGGCGGATGGGGCAGCTCGATCGGGCAGAGGGAGTGTTTGATCGAATGCCCAAGAGGGATGTGGTGACTTGGACAGCGCTGGTGACGCTCTACATCCAAGACGGGCAAATGGAGGCCGCCAAAGCTGTGTATGACCGAATGCCACAGGCTGACATTGTGCCGTGGAATGCCATGCTCCAGGCCAAGATCCACTTTGATGGGTTTGGACATGCAAAGTGGCTGTTTGATAGAATGCCGCAGTGGGATTCCATCTCGTGCATGGCCCTTGTTGGCCTTCTCAATCTTAAAAAGCTACTAACACCCCTTCAATAATATCTTTTAAATGTTTTGTTGATTAACCTAAAGAATATATTGAGAATGGCTAGGATATTCCTAAATCTAATGGTTGTGTTTTTATATCCTTGACTTGATCGATCTTAATTTAACTCCTTTTCTATAAACAAATGAATGAATTAAAATTAATTAATTTAACTATCTTTAGGTGATTAGTGCTTATAATACGCTCCATTAGGTGATTTTTTGTTGATCTTAAAGGCGAAGTATTTTCCCTTTCTACTTGATTCTGTGCTAAGACCTTATAGTGGTCTCTCTTCCATAAGCGAGAGAGAGAGAGAGAGATCACAACATGTAACTTAGAGCAAATAGGATGGAAGAAAGGAATGGATTTGTGGTTGTGGCGGAGCGCAAGCCGGCATTGCTCGGTGGTGTTTTCTTTGCTCTTCCCTGTCGGCTTTGCACAGAGCGACCTCTCGTCCCCTCTCTCTCTTTTCCTCCTTTGCTTCTTTTTTTCCTTCGTGTCTTGGTGGTCGCTGCCTTAAAGAATCCTAATCGATCGACACGGTGTTTGGAGCGATTTCGTGGCAGGGAATCTCGATCGTTTCAGGGAGAAGGCAAAAAATTGGTTTTTCAGTGTCTAGCTTAGAGAGAGAAGGAAAAATGGGTCGTTTCTTCGGTAGAAGCTCACGACTTTTGGAAGAAGAAAAATGTCTCAAAGAACAAATGCGAAGGAGGTAAGCGAGTTTGAGAATTTTTTCTTCCTTGCGAGAGAGATTTAAAGATCAATTTATTTTTTAATTTCTTCGCAGCTTTTCTGGCCCCGACAAGTTCTTCGCAAGCTGCCCGCGTCGGACGCGTTCAATGACGAAGACGACGACCACGACGACATGCAAAGCAGCGGCGATGGCAACTTGTCACGAATATAATGCTAAACTTTCCATAAACTTTTGCTCGTGTTCTTCCTCAGATTCGAGTGAGCATGAGGTTGGGCTCAAGCCTGCAAATCGAACACGAAGTTTGCCCCCGATGTATCCAACGACAGGTCTCGAGAAAAATCTAAATATGGATCTTTAGTTGTCTTTCAAGCAAACACTGTGGTTCCTGCGCGAGGACGCTGTGGACACAGCTTGTCGACACTCCAGACTACCAGTACGTCTCTCAAAATTCGATTTTGCGAGGAGCTCTTGCTTAGCAGTCGCGAAATCTTTGTCCAGGATATGGAAGATCTGGGAAGTCTCCAGACCCGACTTTGAACTTCGAAAGTGATCAACCCGTGCATATGTAAGCGAAACTCGAGAGAGTTTTTTTTTTCGAGAGTTTAAACCAAACTCTCGAGAACTCAAGAGTTTTTCGGTGGTTTTCGTTCCTTTGAATGCCGGCAACGTCCTGGGAGCCGCCGACAACATCCTGGCGCCGCTGTTCATCCCGGGGACGAAACTTTCTCCTCGCTGCTCTCATCATTGTCATCATCATCGGAAGAACAATCTCGCCAGGGCGGTGCATTGCCAACGATTTCCTCCTCGTGTTCTTCCGAAACTGGAGGAGGAGGAGTATTCCACCGGAGGAGCCGGGGTGCCCCGGACCAAAACTTTCTCAACACCTGGACCCCGAGCATCCTCCGGCGCTACCATCAAGCTCGCGGATTTGCCATGTCCAAGCCCCCGGCCATCTCGGCTTGTCTCTCGGACAACACGACGATGGCTTCTCCCGGAAACTCGGAGAACTCGTGAGCAAACAAATGGTGGGAGTGTATGTCATCATCTGGATCCGCAAGAACCTTTGCAGGCACGTCCACGGCCTCAAAGTTTGCTGCGTTGGCTGTGGGATACTGTGGAAACAAGGTAAGTTTTTCCAGCTTTCTTTGATGATCTTCTGGATTTTTGGTTTTTGACCTTGCGGGGATTGTCTCCTCTACTCAGGGCTCCATTGCTGTCAGTATGTTGCTCCACCAGACGAGTTTTGCTTCGTTTGCACACATTTGATGTCGGGTGACAGGGAAAGTGACGAGCTGTGACGGAATGCCAACGTTGCAGAGATTCTTTGGCGGACAGCATTTAATTGATTTAGCAAGCCTGCTATGGTGTGCAATTTGTAAAAAGGTAGAAAATATAATGGTATATTTCACTCATAGTGTTTATGTGGCAATTTTTTATTGGTTCAGCATTAAATGTTAATCCCATTGCAATGGATGCCTTATTTGATAGGTGGATGATATCTCCATAAAATGAACATTGTGCTATACATACTTTTGTGCATAGATGCCATATAATTTCATGTTTCATTGAGTTTGACCCCTGATTTAAGCATTCATTAGGTCTTAGGGTTTAAAAGATGCTTCATTGCCTTAGTTTCTGTCTTGGTTTGCTAGTGATTGGTTTTAAATGTTTTTGTGAGTAGTGTTAGAAGTGGTTTTAATTCACTACTAATTTTCTCTTTATAAACTTTGAAATTTCTAACATAAGTATAATTCCTTCTTAAATTTACTTCAAATTTGTGTCATTGAAACTTTTTCTCCCAGGTTTACTGGAAGATGTGGAGGAAGAGGAGGAGGATGGCCTTCCATTCAATTTTAGTGATTTGGATTATGGTTCAGGTGTAGATAGTGACAATAATACTCTCCCACCATCATCATGTTCTTTGCTTTAACAATATATCAACATAGTATCAAATAGGCAATAAAAATATTTAAATGTCCTATTGGCATCCAGATTAAACAGCTCAAATTTAAGTAACATATACATATATGTGTGTTTGATAGTATACGTGCATCATAAATGTAAACAAAAACTATTGCATGCATTGATCATGAAATCACAACACATGGCCCAGACACTAGGAAAAGATCTTGGAGCATGGGATGTCCTGGAGTTCGAAGCTTGGAGGGAGTTGAGCATGAAGCTTTTAAGAGCACAAAAGAGTTTTTGATTGGAACATAGAGATTTGGAGCATGTAGTATGGCTTGGAGCTAGGAGTAGACAGGCTCAAGGCCCTTGAGGATAAGGTGGCCAACTAAATGAAAGAAAATTTTTACAAAGTGACATCAAACTTTATAGAACCACAAGAAGGTAA